ATTGCGCCCCTCCGAATGCGACAGGAGCGATAAGACCCCCTTAGATGAGGGCATGAAACAAGCAAGCCACAGCGAGCACCGGCAAGATATGCATGAAGTACTAACTTTGGGATGACTCATTTAAAATTATTACGCAAGTTAGACAAGGAGCGGCCCATGTCTCTACATCGAGATCGAGCCTCACCATAGCGGCGTAAAGATCGGGTGCGTTGGCCCTGATCTTGAGCACAACCTGGGTAGTCTGGAAATGTTGAAAAATGCACATGAAGGACCTTTTGAATCTAAACCGTTAAACAATGCCATCCATCATTGCATCACCACAAGCCGAGGCACGCATTTGACCGCGTCCTGCCAGACCCTCAAGTCCGGCAGCCCTGAACGGTGCGGTGTCCAACTTTCACGTGGCCTGAACAAGACCTCGTCCGACGGGGGAGGCCCTGGTGGGACCATCTGAACGGGTGCCAGCCTCGCCATTTTGAAGCTGAAAGGCCACTAGTCCTACTAGTCCACATGTGATACCAAGTCAGCGCCTAACTCGGTCTAGTCCGTCAATATGACTAAAATGCCATGTCAGTGCCCAGTTCTGCCAAGTCCATGGCCCTGATGAGCCTCATCTCCTAACAGTACAGTCCTGGCCTAATTAATCATCATGTCGTGAGTTGCTGTCATGCTTCGGTCTGCCTCTGATTACATGTGGCAAGTCAGCTTCAGATCAGAGCCTGCGGCAGCAGCACATGCTTCAACCACTAGCTGTCATGCGCCAGCAAGTCAGACCCCACAACCCGGCAACTCAAAGTAATATAGCAATGAGATGATGAGCCCCGGCCTTCCACATGGATGGCAATTACCCATGTCGAGGCCAGGCCTGGTGTCGCAAGGACTGAGCAGCTTCAGCAAGCATGCAGACTGACTGAATGGATTGAATGCAAAGCCAACAGCAGGCCTACCACTGTCGCCCTCGACCTGTCAAGTGAAGACCCTCAAGCCGGCTTGCAAGGAAACAAGGGCGGGCCTTCCACAAGAAGGCTCTGGGACTGGAACCAAAACGACCTGGCAATGGGTTGCTGTATCCAGTTCCAGATACAGGACTGGAGCAGAGTCACTGGCCTTTGGTGAAGAGCGCAGAGCCATGAAGTCAGTCCGAGTCCTGGAAAGAGTACAGAGTCCCGTCACCCCCGGAATCCAAAAAGGACTGCTTCAGTCACGGTGATCAGGCCTAGCAATGCACTTGAAGCTGTCGAGGCTTTTCCTGGCAGGTTGTTGGACTAAGACTATTATGGTGAGTATGCATGTATGCATTCTTTAAATTACTAGTTGAACTACCAATGCTCCTGGTACGAAGTGTTGCTCTTACATTGCGCATACTGTTCTCTTCTGAATGCTAAATGACCTTTCAATCGTGTTGTTGGCTCCTGGAATGCATTAAAATTAACTAATTAATCAAGGCCACGAGCCTGCCAGGGACATGGATGAAGTCGATGTCAGACCTGTCGTCATGGCTGCACAGACCCCAGGCCGAACCCTCGCTAAAATGCGAGACATTGACACACCTGCAAGATTCGACTTGTTATGCCAGACAGGCCCGCTTCAAGAAAGCATCAGAAGCCTCCGACGCAGAAGGACGGCCATGTCCGGAAACATGTAAGTCCTGGCACAGGCGATCAACATGAACCAGGACGAAAACCCCTGGCAGGAGGTTTTGCGAGTCTGATTTTTTTTTCGCAGCATCGTTTGAATGACCGATGCCCAAGACAAAGTATAGTGCCCCACAAGGTAAACCCATCAAACCCGGCCCTAAGACCTGCTGAAGACCACAACCGATGAATCAAGGCCCGAGACACTTGAAGAAAGTCGCACTGGCCAGGCGGTCCTGCCGAAGATCAGATTGTCATGGCTGAGACAAGTGAAAGCCCAGACAACCAAAAAACCCTGAAAGCCCTGTACACATACTGCTGATGGGGGGTACAGGGTCCGGCACCTAGCAATGAGCCTACGGTGTGTGCAACTGTGAGCAGGAGTCCACATGCCTTTTTTTTCCTGCCTGCTTGCGGATGGTCCAAACATGTCCAAACTGCGAACAGGGCCCAGACTACAGGGCAAGGACACGGGTGGGCAAGGCTGGCCTTTCAACCGGGTAGCAGAGACCATGAGACCATGGACCAGGATTGTCCTGTTTATTCATTTAATGTTAATATTTAACAATCAAGGCCATTCATGGCCTTGCCCGCTTGCCGCTGCGGCCACTGTCTGGTGCTTTTGCGTCCTCCTTCTTGGACTTGCCCTTCTTGCCCTTCTTGCCCGCCTTCTTCTTTTTCTTCTTCTTAGCCTTAGGCGATGAAGACGCGGAGGCAGACGAAGACACTGCAGGCGAAGGTTGGTCCCTGCTGCAGGCTGGGCCGGAAGGCAATGAAGGCGGAGGTGGGTCCCTGCTGGAGGTTGGGCCGGAGTCCATGGAGCCACGTGCACTGCCAGAGTCCTGAACGAAGGGGCCAAAAATCCTATAGAAAGAATCACAGTCTCAGTCTCTACATGTGCCCTACATCTGGACACCCAACCCGCTTTGAAACCGTGCCTTCGCCCTCTTCGCAGCCTCAGCCTGACACAAACGGGCCTCGGCCTCGCGGTTCTTCAGGTCCAGCTCCTTGGCCTGGTGATGAAAGCACTGAAGCCGGCGAATCTGATTCATCTTTTTTAGTGGGTTTATTAAGCTGGCTAGTTAGTCAATGGCCCAATTCTAGACTTCTTAGTCGGTGCCAAGCCTTCAGCTGGTTGGCCCGGACGTTGTTTTGGCTTTGCTGCACATTGTTTTGAACGGCCCGTCGATGCTCCTCGATTCGTCGGGCCTCGGCCAATCGAAACGAAGATGCCCCTTCCAGCCTTAGCTGACATAACAAGATTAAAGTCATTGATTGAACAACAAAACAGCTAAACAAATTACTTAATCCCAAGCAGGCCGCATGAAGTCCTTGGCCATGGCCACAACCTCGGACAATTCGGCAGCGGTGGGCCCAGCAGGCGCATGCACATGGATCTGGACTCCACCAATGGAAGCGCTGGCCACGTCCTGTCCCGGGCCTGGACCGAACACGTTGCGAGGGACTGGTCCCTCGCAACGTGTTGGCCTTGGTGCGGGCGGTGGAGCGGCCTGAGGGGCCTGGGCTGGAGCGGCCTGGTGAGGAGCGGCCTGGGGTGGAGCGGCCTGAGCTGGAGCGGCCTGACCTCGAGCAGCCTGGGCTGGAGAGGCCTGGACTGGAACGGCCTGGGCTGGAGCGGCCTGAGCTGGAGCGGCCTGGACTGGAACGGCCTGGACTGGAGCGGCCTGGACTGGAGCGGCCTGGGCTGGAGCGGCCTGGGCTGGGGAGGCTTGGGCAAAGGCCGCTTGTCCCTTAGCCTTGCCTCCCTTCATTTTGCTTTTTGGTTTTGGTTTTGGCTTGCTCTCAGGCCTTGGCTTGGCCTTTGCGCCCCATTGGTTTCTCCAGCGCTGGTCGGCCCTGTCCTCCTTGCAAGAAAAGCAAATACTGTCTACTATGAAAAGCGCTTGTTTTAACACCAGGAAATAAACATGTTGCACAGAAAGGCCGAGGCACACCCATCCTTGTGACATTGCGCCAGTACTCGCTGTTCGCACCTTTCGACATGGGCGGCGCGAGGACCTATGGACAGAAAACTGGCGATGTGGACCTCATCAACGTTAGCTAGTCCTGAGTGGTCCTTCTTACTTGTTTTTTCAAATGAACTGGCCAGACCTGACCTGAGCCAAATTCAATTACGGCATTCACATGACCAAATCATGAATGCATGAGACCTTGAAACCGGATGATAGGCACAGCTGTCCTGCTCCATCATCGCTGTGGCCACGGCGCCCAGCAGCAGCAGGCCAAATGGCCTGTGCGGAGTCCAGTGAGTGGGACATTTATAATCCCTTGCCCTCAGGCTGAATCTGAACCCGACATCCCAATCAACCCACAGCAAACCCTAAACCGAATACTATTTACTAAGACTGTGGGTTTTATTTAGGAAACCCCCCCTACTGAAGTAGGTTCTCAGTTTATATTCAAGCCCTCAACCTGGCACATGCGCGCCTGCAGAGATGCGGCAAGGAGCTGGGACGGCCGAGCCTTTATTAATTTAATTGAAGCCCTCAACACCTTCAGACCCCGTTTAGGGTTCAGGGTTTAAGGGTTAAGGGTTTAGGGTTTAAGGGTTAAGGGATAAGGGTTTAAGGGTTAAGGGTTTAAGGGTTTTAGGGTGTAGGGTTTAAGGGTTAAGGGTTGAGGGTTGAGAGTTTAGGGTTTAAAGTTTAGGGTTTAGGGTGGGTTTAGGGTTCAGGGCTTATGGGTTAGGGCATTGGTTTAACGTCCTCACGGACGATGTCCTAGCGTCCTAACGGACGAGCGGACATGCGACCTAACGGTCGAGTCCTAGCGGACTGCGTCCTATCGGACGAAAGCATGACGAAAACCCACCTAAACCTTACCTAAACCCCTAAACCCTAGGGGCCCCGGCCCGGCCAAGTCCATCGTAGATGACGAAGTCCATGTAGGCATCATGGAGGACATGTAAGGTTTGGGCAATTAAGAGGCCTCAGGCCAAAGGGTAAGGATTTCAGGCCTTAGGGTCGGGCTGGGCTTAGGTTTAGGGGCTTGGGGCCTTTGCACCTCTCAGGCCTTAAGGTAAGGTTCAGGGTTTCAGGCCTTAGGCAGGGCTTATGGTTTCCTCCCTGTCCTCTGAGCCTGTGTTACGGTTGTTGTTTGGGCACACACACACACACACAACCCTGCAGGGCTTAGTCTTGGCCTACACATGCACAACACCACCAAAACCCAGGAAAATATAAAATACCCGAAAGGTCCGGCCAGAATAACTGGTTAGCCGAACATCAGCCCTGAAAACCCAGCACGGCTCTTCAACCAAGCCCCACATCACACCTAAACCCAAAACCCAAAACCCAAAACCCAAAACCCTGAACCCACTGATGAGTTTGCCCCCGGGCGCGGCTCCATATCCGCTTCGGTGTTGGAGAACCAGGAGAAGCGCGAACGCGAGGGAGCCTGGTGGCTTGGAGGGTTGAGCGCGCTTGAGGAAAACCTAATGGCAAATGGGTTGCCGAAAAAGAGGGGTTCCTTAGTTCCGTCTGCGGGGATCCCTTTAAGGAGGTCCTGCGACTTTTTGTTTTTTTTTCTTTTTTTTTTTTGGGGGGGGGGGGTATGGCAAAGGCCGAATTTTTGAAAACCCCCGACAGAATTAACCACGCGTCCCACCTGTTAACTGCCTGTTAACTTTGCCAAAGGCCACGCGCCAAATCCCGAACCAGGCCAATTAGTTTCAAAAGTCCTGCACCCATCATGGGCTCAGGTACCCTCTCCTCAACCAAGCTGTCAACCAACCCGAAGCCCAATGCCTCGTCCGCCTCCACATCTGGGGTTTGGAGCAGAATGCTGAAACCTGACAGCGATCTCTCTTCCTCTCCCCCTCCCTCCCCCTCCCTCGTTCACCCTCTCCTCTCTCACCCCCTCTCCTCTCTCTCACCCCCTCTCCCTCTCTCACCCCCTCTCCTCTCTCTCCTCTCTCTCCTCTCTCTCCTCCTCTCCTCTCTCTCCTCCTCTCTCTCTCTCTCTCTCTCGCTCTCTCTCTCTCTCTCTCTCTCCTTCTCTCGCTCTCTCGCTCTCTCTCTCTCTCTCTCTCTCTCTCTCGCTCTCTCTCTCTCTCTCTCTCTGCCTGCCCTTTTCTCTCTCTCCCCTCTCCCCTCTTCCCCTTCCCTCTCACTCTTTCTCCCTCCCCCATCCCCCTCCCTCTTTCTCCCTCTCCCTCCCTCCTGCCCTCCCCACACACACACACACACACTCTCTCTCTCTCTCTCTCTCTTTCTTTGTTTTTTCTTTCTTGCTTGTTCTCTGTTTTTTCTCTTTCTCTCGTTCCCTCGTTCTATCATTCTCTCTTTCGCTCGCTCTCTCTCTCTCTCTCTCTCTCTCGAGGATGTGGCGCACGGGGTCGGCTCACGGTTTAGGGTTTAGGGTTTAGGGTTTAGGGTTTAGCGTTTAGCGTTTAGGGTTTAGGGTTTAGGGTTTAGGAACTGATGGCCACATACATGGGTGCCCTAGCCATGCTGTCGACTGCAATTCCTTTCGCAATTCTGAGCAACCGCAAGCCCCAGGTTCCAAGGCTCCTTTTGGAGGTTTAGGGTTTAGGGTTTAGGGTTTAGGATTCCAGGGAATACTTCCAGCATTGCCCAAGCCCTGAACCGAAGAGCCACCTGGACGCTTGAGGTGTATAGGGCCATGGATCCTAAACCCCAAATCCGAAGCCCTAAGCCCGAGCCGCCGCCTGCAGACGATACCACAATGTTTGGCCAGACCCCTTAAAAACGGCAAGCCCCGAGCCCGACAAGACCCTGAACCCTAAACCCTATGACCAAAATCCAAAAACCCCTAAACCCTAAACCCTACTTAGGGTGGTTTAGTGTGGTTTAGGGTGGTTTAGGGGATTTAGGGATTTAGTGGGTTTAGGATGGTTTGGGGGATTTAGGGGTTTAGGGTGGTTTAGAGGATTCAGGGGTTTAGGGGTTTAGGGATGTAGGGGTTTTAAATCCTGAACCCTAAACCCTTTAAACCCTTTAAACCCTTTAAACCCTTTAAACCCTTTAAACCCTTTAAACGCTTTAAACCCTCTAAACCCTAAACCCAGCTGAACTGGAACTCATGAGCCTTGCCTGCTCCAGAGCTGAGCTTCGAGGTGCGCAGGGCAGCATCCTCCCGGGGTTTCGCTGCGCTTGCCCGACGGCGTTGTGTTTTTTCTCAGCGGGAGTATGCACTACATATGCACATATGCACATACATGCATACATGCATACATGCATACACGCATACATGCATACATGCATACATGCATACATGCATACATGCATACATGCATACATACATATACATATGTATATATATATATACATATGTATGCAAGTATGTATGCAAGTATGTATGTATATATTTATGTATGCATGTATGTTTGCCTGTATATTATCCATGCATGTATATGCGTGTGTATACACACACACACATATATATATATAAATATACATATGGATAGATATTAAAATGATAAATTGCTACCCCTCCCCCATGGAGGAGTGCGTGAGTGGTCGGCCCTTTGGTAGACGGTAAACTTGAACTTCTGTGCGTTCTATGGGTTAAGGTTACTTAAGGCATGCTTAGGTTATGTGGGGAACAAGGCCCCAAAATCATGAGAACGATGTCCAAATCAACCCCTGAAGCTTGGGGATTACATCCGAAACCCCTCATGACTCCCTAACCAAACCTTTGGACCCTTCACACCCTGACCCCTCGTCCCCCACCCCTCCTCCCCCCCGAAACCACCCTAACACCTAAACCCTAAACACGAAACCCTGGGTTTAGGGTTTAGGGTTCAGGGTTTAGGGTTTAGGGTTTAGGGTTTAGGGTCTTGGGTCGACTCCCCCGAGCTCCTTTAAACCCCTACACTAACACTGCACCCTTCAGGACCGGGTCCGTGCGAGCCGCCTCTTCACCTGCTTGCTCTTGATCGAGGATGGGCTGTGAGGCCCGAAAATCACCAGAATCAACCCTATCAAGGGCCTGTTCAAGGCGTTGTACTTGAAGGTTCAGGGTACTTCTAACCCCAACTATAACTGTACTTATAAGCCCCCCTAAGTCCCCTAAGTAGGTCATACGTAGATTTATAATTGTGGCTATAAATACGTACCCATGAACCTCCAAGACCCTAAACCCTAAACCCTAAACCCCAAACCCTAAACCCTAAACTCCTAAACCCTCAAAGGGTATTGTAGCTCGTCCTGGAACTGGGGTTTCGGGCTGCGGGCTTCGGATTTGGAGTTGGAAGCCTTTGGCCTGGCACCGTGTTTTTCACGGCAACCCCGATCGAGGGTTTAGGGTTTAGGGTTTAGGGTTTCGGGTTTAGGGTTTAGGGATCCAACCTACCCGATCCAACCTACCACCCTCCTGCAAAAACTGCACTTCCAAACCCTGCTCAAAACTTCATCCGCACGCACCATGCGAAAGCATTGATTCGACTAGTGCTTGCATCGTGCGACTGACACGAAACACTTCCAGCCATCCGAAAACGCCTTGTTTTTTTAGAGTGCTTTTGGCATGGGGTCCAGCGACTTGGGCGCTGCGGAATCACCATGCTCACGCGGATGCGCTGGGCCGGGCCGAGGCGGGTCGCGTAGCGTTAAAATTATCTCACAGCAATACCCAGCAAACACTTATAAAACCCGTTACTGTCGACTGACAGATGTAGACCCTAAACCATCCCAGACATGCCTGAACCCGAAATGGCCAATGACGGCCAACGTCCAGCACTCTGAAACTTGGGGGGTACCCAGGACGGGGCCATATGCAAACGAACTTAGACCGCCACAACTACTAGTAACGAGTAACGAGAACCTACTGGCTGGACGTGTGTGCTTTGGGGTTTCGGCGTTGTGTTTTGGAAATACACGCAGCTGTAACAGCTCACATGCACAGAAGTCTATACAGCGGTCTTGTCCACGCAAGTCTTCAGACAAGGGCCATCTTGTTTGTGCACGCAAGAGCCGAAAACTACCCGAGGGAAGCGTGCCTGCTCTCTGCGCTGCCGCCAGGGATGGTGGGTCCTGGCCAGAAGAAGGCTTAGGGTTTATTTTAGGGTTTAGGGTTTAGGGTTTAGGGTTTAGGGTTTAGGGTTTCAGAAGTGGGAGCCGGGTGTCGTTCTTGAACGGACATGAGGAATTCTACGGGTGTCTCCCCTTGAACTATGAGTACCTGGACTGTTTCGAAACACCAATAGACCTTGAGATCAATAGATTTCTCCGTATATCACACCCACCGGACAATTAGACCATTAGACCTACAATCAGGCTTCCTCTCCTACCAAACAGGCCGACCAGACCATTAAATTCTCATGTAGCAGACCCCACCGGACCATTAGACCATTTGGCAAATTGGGCCCCCCGCCCCCCCACAAACCATTAGATCATTGGACCACTGGACCAGTAGACCATTGAACCAATCGGCTTCCCCGCATTGAACTGCTTTCAAAGGTTGAAACCTAGTGGTCTACTGGTCATGGTGTCATGATCTCGGGGTCCAATGGTCCGGGAAATCTAACACGGCAAAAACCAATTAGAGTAATAATCCAATGGTCTGGTGGTTGTCATATGGGGGAAAGCAATTGCTCTAACGGTCTAACAGTCCAGTCGTGGGTCGTTGTTGTAGGGGCTTGAGAACCTTCGTTCATGAGGGTTCAGGGTTTAGGGCTTAGGGTTTCAAAACAGGGCGCATGTGTCGCAACTGGGCGCGTGTGTCGAAAAGACCCGTGTAGTTGTTGCAGTACGCGTTGTCATGAACGGCCCTCATAAATCAAAATAACATCTTGTTCGCAACCTTTCATCTTTGCACGACCTGCCTTGAAATCGGTTCAATTTCTGTCGATATTAGAAAGACCTGCTTTTGAGAAGGTTTCCTGTCTACAAGTCCCATCGTTTACATTGTTTACATGGATGCTCTTGTTGATGCCATCCACTTACTTCTCCAATAACCAAGGGGAAAAAGGTTAAACTCTGATGTTCCTACTAAATAAGGAAACCCAAAAAGCTTAAAGTCCAACTAAAGGCGAAGTAAGTCCATCTATAGATGTCTGCATTAGTGAGTCCGCAGAGTCGGGGCTAGGTTTAGGGTTTAGGGTTCAGGGTGTCCAGTGCTTTAAAGCGCTCAGATTTTGGGGCTTGTGGGGTTTAGGGCCTGGCGTTTAGAGTCTTGGATCAGGGTGAAAGGTTCAGGGATTAGAGCCCTTCTAAACCCTAAACCCTAAACCCTAAACCCTAAACCCTAAACCCTAAACCCTAAACCCTAAACCCTAAACCCTAAACCCTAAACCCTAAACCCTAAACCCGACGGATGCGCCTCGGTTCTGGCAAGGTCGAAGTCTTCGCCATCCAGGTCCCCCAGGAGCGGTCTGAAAAAAGAAAGCT